AAATCTTTTGAGAATAAACTGTGAGTGTCAAATGGGAATGAATCCCCCAAATCTTATTTTATATGTAACCACATTTTGAATCCCACACGGTTAGCAATCATATACTTGCTACGTGTTTCTTGAAAGTTGTACCCGTAGCCGTAAAGCACGCCATGTCAGGAAAAATAGATGAGTTATGTACCCTAGAAAAGTGTACAGTAACTAAAGCGTCACATCACACGTTGTTTCGAAAGCACCCAGTGGATAAGAACCATCAGAAACCTTTGGAATAGAGGTGAGGCTCTTTCACTTTTGGGTTTAAAAGCGAAGTCATATGCCATACTTTCGAAATCATCAACCTGAGTTGGTAATACTCAGAACCTCAAGGATTTGTGAGTGCATGTGTGCCCAGAAATAGATAAGAATCAAAAATAAAAAAAATTGGATCTGTGATGTCGAAAATCAAAATTTCGACATAAAGGCAGTTAGATCCCTGACAAAGATCACTTCGCGAATTATCAAGAGAGATAATCAGCAGCTTGTGTGGTTTCCTATAAAATACAATCGAATACTTGTAGAGAAGTAACAAACGGTTTCTTTTATCCAGTTTCGAAGGTGGTTTAAGATGTCGTTACAAAGAACATCTAAACATAAGAGTGACAAGTCGTAAACGAAATTACCTGTTTGACCAGTGTAGTCAGTGCCAAGTAGGCTTTGGAAAATTTATTAAGTAACGAAGGTTAAGAATGACACTCAAACAGAAACCATATTCTTCAAACCAAAATTATTCTTGAATCATGTTGGGTAACAAATGTCGTAGGTTTCGAACATTTGACCAAGATCACTATAAAAGAAAGAATATGATTTTGAGTATCGAAAATGGGTACAGAAACCAAAGTTTTGTTAATATCTGGAACAAAGGTCCCCGTCAATTCCTTATATTTCGAAAGTTTGGGTTTCACTTTCATCACGGTCTCATGATGTTAGATCATAAACACAGAGTTTTGATATGTCTAGATCCTGATTGGTTTATACCAAAAATCTCTTCGACATATGTCATTATGTGTGATCGTGAAAGAACTTTAAGATGAAAAAGTTTGGTTAAAAGATTCGAAAGTACCAATGCTATTGATGGACCAGGCAGAAAACTCTATACTCAAATGAGTAGAGTATGGTAGCTCAGTGACTAATGAAAATATATCCTAGTTGGGAAGAATCCTCGGAATGAGAGATTCATTAAGGCTTCAAAACCCATTGAGTCTTGGAGGCTTGGGTCGACATGCTACAACATGCTTCTAGGGACCTCCTAACTAGTACATAGTTTTGAAAGTATACATATCCCTTAAGCAGCAAGCATGAACCACCTAAAATCTTCTCGAATACCTACACAAGAAAAGAGAAACAAAAACAAGACAAAAAATATTTTTGGATTTTTGAATGAAAATAACAAAAATAACCAAAAATCTTTTTTGTATTTTTGAATTTTTAATAACAAAAGACAAAAATGAAAATATTTAAGAAATGACTAAACTAACGAAGATTTTTGTTAAACCATTTGATCATAATGTCGAAAGCGAAGCATGTTGAAGTGTTGACTATGAACAGTAACCGCTGAATCATGAACAATAACCGCTGAATCGACATCTTATCGACACTTTTGGCTTCTCATTCTAACGAAGGTAGTCCAGGAACTGAATTTGCATTCATCATTCCTAAGCCATTAAGAATTCTTAAAAACAATTTTTCATCCAACGGTTTTGTAAAGATATCAGCAAGCTGATCAGTGGTCTTTACAAAATGAACTTCTATGTTTCCATCTTCAACATGATCTTTTATAAAATGATAACGAAGAGCAATGTGTTTGGTTTTCATTTTTATTGGATAATCACGCAGTTGACTTTGTATCCATATGATTTGTGAAGTGCAAGCTGCAGCAACAATATACTCTGCTTCTGCTGTGAAAATCAAAACACATGTTTTCTTTTTCGATTGACAGCTTACTAATTTCCCATATAGTAGTTGACATCCGCCACTTGTGCTCTTTCGATCAGGATTGCATCCTCCCAAATCATCGTCTGAAAATGTTTGTATGAAAAAGCCTGTCTTCGAAGGATACCACAATCCTAACGAAGTTGTTCCTTTGACATAACGAAATATATTCTTTACAACATTCCTATGAGGTTCCCTGGGATTCGATTGATACATAGCACAATTGCATATAGAAAACATAATATTAGGTGGACTTGTCGTGAGGTAAAGTAACGAACCTATCATGATTTGATACAATGTGATATCAACAGCTGGTTGATCCAATGGTGGATTTAGCCTTGTTCTAACAGCCATTGGTACTCTCAGCTTCGTGCTATTCGTCATTCCAAATTTTCCCAACAGATTTCGTGTATACTTCTCTTGATTGATAAATATGCCTTCTCTGCTTTGACAAATGTTTAATCCCAGAAAATTGTTTATCTTCCCCATCATACTCATTTCGAACTGGATTTTCATCAAATTTTCGAATTCTCTTGAAAAAAATAGGGTCAGTAGAGCTAAAAATAATGTCATCGACATTTATTTCAACAAGCATAAGATGATTACCAACTTTCTTTCGAAAGAGAGTGGGATCAATTGATCATTGTTTAAATTTTGACTGCTTTAAGAAATTGATAAGAGTTGCATACCAGGCTCTTGGTGCTTGTTAGAACAATGATCAGGAAATTTTTCGTTAACAAAACCTGGAGGTTGTTCAACATACACCGTCTCTTCGAGTTCTCCGTTGAGAAAAGCACATTTGACACCCATCTAGTAGACATCAAAATCCTTGTGTGCTGCATAGGCCAAAAATATCCGAACTGCCTCGAGTCTTGTGACAGGGGCGAAGCTTTCCTTATAGTCTATACCTTCTTGTTGCGTTAACCTTTGACTACAAACCTAGCTTTGTTTCGAACAACGTTTTCTTCTTTATCAGTTTTATTTTTAAAGATCCATTTTAATCCTATCACTGACACATCTTTTGGTTTAGGAACTAGACGCCAAAATTTATTTTGTTCAATTTTAGCCAATTCAGATTGCATAGAAACAATCCAATTAGGATCTTCCATTGCAATTTTGACTGTTTTTGGTTCAATTTTCGAAATAAAAACGTTAAACGTGCAAAATTCTTGATGAATATTGAGTACCTCATTCTTTGCACGAATTTGAGCTCTCGTCAAAACTCCAGCTTGTGGATCACCAAGAATGTGTTCATGTGGTTGATTTCATGTCTATCTATCCATTTGAGGATA